AACAAAACTTACTTGCTATAGAAAAGTCTTTTGAGCCAAGGAATTCCCTCTTGGCTCTGGGAAGTTGGAGGCACTATGAAAGAAGATGGAAATGGAAGTGCACAGAGAGTGGGGTCCAGCTTTTGGAAGGCTTGGCCTGAAGGCACTATATGCATTGAGAGCCTGGGCTCTGGAAGGGGTGATTCTCAGCCCCACCACACAGAGGACACTTTCAGTGTTGAGCTGATACCAAGCCTCTAGGTGTGGATATTGATGGAGGGTAGGGGTGGAGAAAGGACTGGGAGTGTGTGGGGGGGGTCACTTACTTACTGCTTAATTTGTCAGTTGTTGAAAATAAAACTGCTCTAAAAATAAACTTATTAACTTTAGAGTTAAGAAAGAACACCTATTGATTCATAACTAAAACACTGTTGCATTGTTAACAAAGAGTACAATACTGTTATTATAAGGTAAGTATAAGTAAAGGACAATGAATAATATACATCAAAAATTTTAATACTCAATATACAATCAACATGTTCTGATCCACAGTATAAACCAAATAAAAGAATCTTGTGTTTCCTTTGTACAAATACTGCTTTCATAATAGCAAAACTTACAATATTAAAATGTACCATATGTAGAAACCATCGCTCACTTGTTTCAGGATGAATTTATTGCTATTAACCAGTAACACCGTCAGCTCTAACATCAAGTCAGATCCACAGGATCTCTTAATTTCCAAGAGATTATATTAGAGAGCAAGATGATATTGTAGACAAAGTAACTTGAAAGGTCTTTTTATTTATTTTTTAAAGTAAATACACCTTGTTATTTCATCTGCTAGGTGACAGGATGGGGATTTGGCAGCAATCAGAAAGGATGAACTTGGGATATAGAGGACATATTGTGGTTGTGCAGATAGACATGGAGAGAAAGCAATATTAATTGCTTTGTATTTTAACCCAAGTATCACTTAGGAAAAAAATTAAAAATGTGTCTTAAAGCAAGAATCCTCTTATTGGACTCTGGCTTTTATGAAAGCCATCCAACTACTTACACAAGCCCACTGACTATACCCTTTGTGATGTAACTGCTAGGTCAGTGTTCTCTTTTATCTTGGGAAATGAAGGTATCTTAGTTACTAGAAGGGGGTGATTGCACAAAGGCAAGAATGTTCTTTGCACCAGTCTACCTTTCATAGAGGAAATGAACAGAGGGTTAGTTATTTGCTCTATACTTCCTTTCTCTCATCTGGTTAGAACTTCTCATCTCTAGTTCTTGGGCTTCTGTCATGGAGCCACTGCTACTCAGTTCCCTGATGCTCAGTGACAGATGCAGAGGTCGGATTTGGTGTTATTGGACCTGGGAGCTGTTCCTGAGGCCCCAGCATCAGCTGAATTTGCCAGCAATTCCAGGCTCCTGTGGCCAATCATGTTGGTGGTTCTCAATGCTGCAATACCTAAGAAAGCCCTTACAAGCTATAAAGTGAAAATGCATGGGTTTCACTTCCAGAGGTTCATAGTTAATTGATCTGGGTGTAGCTGGTCTTTTCAAAAGTTCTTCACATAAGATTGCTGTGCAGCTGGGATTAAGAATCCTTTCTGGATGGTGATGGAAAGACTTGGTAAGACCATGGACGGACCTCATCATTATATTGAGTAACCAAAACATGCTGAATATTAGGGATCTGTAGATATTTCTAGTCTAAGTTGGTAGAAGCATATCAATTGTAAATATAAAAATAAAAATATTTGCATCAAACTTAGATTAGTATATATAAATCGACAAAGTGCTATATTATTGCTTTTACATTTGTAGGGTCATATTGGCAGATGAGTGGAATAACATGCAATTAAATCCACATTAGTGATAACAGGTAAGAGTTCTTTTCCACAAACATTGTTTCTGACTCAATAGAAACTGCTTTAGATAAAGGCTAGTCTAAATGTGCTTTCCAACCTTTCTAATTTTATAAATATAAAAAGTACCATGCTCTTCATCAGGACAATGATCTAGCTTAGTTCTTCTATGAGGTTGTATCTTAGAAGAGAGAAAAAACTTTTCTTTTGCTTTAATTAAATCCCTTTAAATGAACAATTCAGTTTCAAATTTTGATTCCATTGTAGTCTTTTTAAACTATTTCCTTAGTAGAAAAGTGAGTTGTCCTAGAAATATATCTTACAAAGTTCAGTGCTACATCAAGAGGTTAACATTCCTCAAAAAATGTTACAAAAATAGATTGACATTTAAAAATCCTGTGAATGTCTTTTTAATAGTACAAAAATGTAGTGCCCTGATTTCTCTGGTTGTTGCTGGTAACAGAGGCAGGGATTTCTACTCTGAGGTTTTTTTAGCCCCAGGTAAAGAAATATAAACAGATGATTATGTTGTAATGAAAACATATACTTATCAAAGGAAAGAAATACAAAGTAGATGCAAGGACAATTTCAAGAGCTGTAACTTTTCAGCAGCTCATTCTCTGGGAGGAGACTGATTTTTCTAACTTATTTCTTAGAAAATGTAAACTGTACAGCGCTTTATCAAGACTCAGATCTGGGTACCTACCACTTTAAGGATCCGCTGCTGGTGCCAAGGAATTGGAGGCTTTGGAAATGACCACGCTGTGGCCCACGGGGGACACCTGGTTCTGGCTGACTCTGGAAACCTCAGCATGCCCACCTGTTTTCACTCTGCCCTGACTGGGGTATGACATTCACACAGGCTCCTACCACTAGGCATGACCTCAGAGATGAGGGCTCAACTCTGGCTGTCCATGAGAATCATGAGGGGAGACCCCTAGGTTCCAATTCCATTGGTCTGAGGAACCCAGTTCCTTTCTCCTAAGCTGACTAGGGGTTCCAGGGGCAGTGAGGGGAGGGGCTGAGGGTAGTCATATCCCAGACTTGTCCTCACTGCAGCCGAGGTAGAGCAGAAAGCCATCCGCTCTAGGCTACCTGTACAGTATTCTTTTTTCACAAGTGTTTTCTAAACTCTGGTTCAGCAAAATAAATCAGAGGCACTCTATAAAGTCCCTAGGCCTGGGCTGTATCTGAGACAAGTTCAACTAGAAACTGCATAACCAGTGCCTGCTAAGGTTATGCAGACCACAGCTGATTGCTGTCTGCAGTTGGGGGAGAGCCAGAGCACAAATTTGAGAATTTTCAAGAATCCCTTGGCTGTGTTATCAGGGATGCCACATGATGACCCCATAGAGCTCCTAGTTATGAGTCAGGAATAACTGGACAGAGGCAAGTTCTGACTTTGGAAGAAGTGATCTCTGTTCTGCCTTAAGAGGTAACATAGCTCTTTTCCTATGTTTAATTAAGGGGCTCCTTCGAGTTTATAGAGAAGACCTATGTAAGGACAGTGACCAATGTAAATGGTAACTTTGACTCCTACCTTCCCCTGAACTCTGCTCCAGGGCAAGATCTGAGGCTGGGCCTGGGGAAAGGTCTCTACTACTGACGTGAAGAAGCAGCACGCAGGCTGTACAGGGCCAGTATCCATCAGGAAGAACACAGGGACTGAGGTTAGCTTTGAAATTTGGTCAAGCAGGGCTAGGCCATGGATCTCCTGAAGCCCTGGGGAGCCTTCTTCTGACACCCCACAGTCAGCACCAGTCTGGGCCCACGCTCTACTCTCCTAAGTCTGAAGCACCACCAGCCCACTGCAGCTCCCTGGACAGACACGGCAAGAACATTGAGGGAAATAAAAACCTTAAAATTAAGTAAATTTAGTAACTAGATTTTTGCAGGAAAAGTGAAATAAAAAGAAGAAAAAACCTGAATAATTGTTGCTGGTTTATTATGTTCTAGGAAAATTTTTCAAATTACAAAAATACTAGACTTGCTACACAGTGGCGTCCTGTGCCTCTTGACTGACCCTTGTTTCTTGACAAATAAATCAGAGTCCACTGAACTGCTGTTTCCGAGAGCAGAGTGAGCTTCTGATACAAGATTTCTCGTTTTGAGGTGAATAAGAAAAGCAGCTTACTGACAATGGTATACATTTTAGATTCCTAGAAAGCTGTTTAATCATACTCATTTAAGTCCCCACTGGGGACACATATAAGAAATGTGAGGATCGCTGTAGCTTAATTCCCAGGCTCCTGAAGATGACAACATGGCCTGTAAACCTACTTTATTAGTGGTCCCTGTAGAAGACCCTTTCTTGGTCAGGGTTCCTTGTGGCTACACCCTGTTCACCCCCTGACTGAATACACCTCGTGCTCTGTGCTGCCTGGTTTCTGTGGGTGTGTCTTACCTGGCATCTGTCATGCTGTTTTAATGTCAGTATTTCAGTTCATTTTTTGCCAAATTGTGAATTTCTTGGAAACAGAAAATGTGTTTTATTTAGTTTTGTATCTTTAGTAGCAATGCCCAGACTGGTACAGGTATGCAAGAGTATTGGAGAACAGAATGAAATTGAATATGGTTTATATTTCCATGGAGACAAAATAAAACATTTTGGTAACAAAACAGTGTGGCCCTGATCCATATGAGAGTCAACAAATAACTTAAAAGCCAAAAGAAAATTTTTATGTGTCTGTAGGCTGAAATATTTTCTGAAACACGTCTTCACTGGTAAACTGAAATGATGGATGCTGACCAAGAGCACTGAAAACGCCAGAGATTGCCGCTGACTAATCAGGGGCACTCAGATGAGAGGATAAAGGTGGAGTCCTAACTAGCTGGAACCCTAATTACAGGGAAATTACTTTAAGAGGAAATTTTTTTTTTCCTTCTAAAGTACCTGTAGGTTTTGTGAATGCATTATCTTCAACTTCAAACTTGACACTACATAATGCTATCTTTATTTCCTAGGAGGAAAGCTCTAAATTCTTGCATAGTTGCCTCAGAACCTGGATGCTTCTATTCACAAAGCACAGGGAGGGGCTTTGGGGCAGCTTGCCAGGGACCAACCTAGTACCTTTTGAGTAAAAACATTTAAAGTGAAGTAAAAAGAAAAGTGTATTCTAAACTAATTTTTTTTTTTTTTTGGGGAGAGGCTAAAAAAGTTCTAAAGTTTTTTGTTTTTGTTTTTTTTTTGTTTTTTTTTTTCCTCCAGAATCTTCCACTTTATCTCCTGGCCCAAAGGACTTCATGTATTTATCTGAAACTCAAATCTTGGGACATGTTCTCATGTGAGCTTTTGCATTGTCTTCCATCATAATTAAAGGTTATTGGTCCAAATGCTGAAGAATTAAATATGAGCTGGCCTTGCTCATATTATTCAATGTACCGTCTCCTCTTGCCGATAGGGAAAGTATATAAAGTTTCAAAACAATGGAATGGAAAATAAACAAGTAAGTCTAATACTTACAATTAGAAAACACTAGTTCAATGAAAGGAAAGCAAATACCATGGAGACATTTGTATAAAAGTCTGAGGATGAACTCTATCCCCTCCTTTTCTTTTCACCCAGGAATGGTCGAAGTGGCTTATCCTTTGTACTTCCAAGGTTGGGTCCAGTACTGATCAGGCCTATTTGCAATGTGGAGGGCTTCCTGTTTAATTGTCTCACAATGGAAGAGTCAGCACAGAGCCAGTGAAGTCAAGTGTTAGCTGGAAGACTTTGGCTCTTGCTTCTAGGTCACAGTTGGGTCTGGACCAACTTGTGCATCAAGTGCTCTGAGTGGGCTTCTTCCTTGTTAGAAAAGCCCCTTAAAAACAAAGTCAATGACTACAGTTAAACATCCCACAGGTCCCCAAGCAAGAAAACTCCTTATATATAGTTGTGTGCTTTTTTTTTTTTTCCAAATATACCTCAATTAATGGTGAATTTTGTCCAAATGGACAACATTCTTGCTGGATGCCTTTTTATGGAAGCTTTACAGTTTGAAGACATAGGACTGTCACAGGGATATACCTGCAATTCCCTGTGCTGCATCCGAGTGGAGGGCTTCCTGGTGGAAAGATTGGCAGGTCACAGCAAATATGGGAAAGCCAGTTCATGGTCCAAGAGTGAACATGGACTTGATCAGGACTTGGTGATTAGGAGTAGCTGCCATGGTTGGGTCCATGGGGGGTCCACCATCTGGAATTTGTATGGCCACGGTCATGCTCCAATAAATTCACTGCTGGATGGTGCTACCCGAAGGTATTCTGCATTTTCAGCTGAAGAACCCTTGAAGATGCCATTGGACTTGGTTTCCTTGGGAAAGAAGTCCTGCTGGTAGTCGGGGTTGTCCAGACTGATCTGGTGGCTGCCTGTCTGGGCCCAGAGGGTGGAGCCGTTGACATGGGAAGGGCAGGTGGTGTTGAGATACTCAGGGTTGTCCACCGCATTACTGTGGGGATTTTGGTAGTGAGGGTCTCTTCCAGGGGCTGGATGGAGGGGCTGATTGTGATAGACAGGGTTCTGGACAGAGCCTGCAGGCCTTTTGGGAACACACTGGTTTACGTATTCTGAAAATGAAAAGAAACCAGAGGTAAAGTCATCAGCAAAGCATGGTCTTAAGCAGAAGATTGTGGCCTCTCCCATCCTTGGATATTCTGTAATGAGGGACTACCACAGGTAGGAAGCCTGGGGGCGACAGTGTCTTTTGTTGCTGTAGAATAAACATTGCTTTTTACTCTACTTCTCAAATAATGGACACATTTATCTTTTGCCAAGCAAAAGTTCTTTAAGGATAGCCTGTCTGTGTGTGTGTGTGTGTGCATGTGCATACATGCAGACTGGGAGTACCTAGGGATAGTTTCTATTAGGAAAACGTGTGTTTCACATGGCAAGAAGGTAGCCCAGGGATACAACAGGGACGGAGACTGGCAAACATGGGACAGAGACTGGCAAACAGGGATGGAGACTGACAAACACCTTCACACATTCTCACACGAGTGCTCACACAGAATTGACATGTACATCAGTCCACACATGCTCACATATTCACACTCGCTCCGACACTGATACCTACACTCACTCTCCCACAGAGCACACACACATACTCACAGGCACACCACACATACTTTTAGCCTCGGGCCCACACATCACACTCACACCCATGTCCCCCCACATATCATTGCTTCAAATTCTAGAAAAGCTGCAGATTCACCCTAAAAACAAACCTCTAGCAGACAACCCAGATGCCCTTGCATTGCGTGCTGCCCAGTGCTTGGGTCTGTCTGCCTCCAACCCCCTTCTCTGTGCCCATCTCCACCTCTGGTCAGATGGGTGGGTGTGGGGCCAGCTCCAGGGACAGGTCAAGGACTGACAGCCTTGGAGCCACTCACCAGGCACAGGGAGGAAAGAGTCATCCAGGCTGTCCTCAGGTAGGGTGCCGGTGGGGTCCGAGCTGTAGCGCTGCAGGAAGCTGTCTTCTTTGAGGGGGCAGCTCTGCTGCGGAAGGTTAGAGGTATCAGTGTAACACCACCCAAGCCTGTTCAATGCATCTGCACTGGAAGGGCTGAGGACGGATCTAATTCTTATGAGCCCAGCAGATGGCCCTGGTCTGTGCAGTCCATTGTGACGACCAACGACTACGACCTCTACAGGCTTTCTGTGATGACCAATGACCACGGCCTCTACTCCTCCATGTGGCAGCCACAGCCACATGTGACTAAACATTTCATACGTGGGAGACACCTAGTTTTAGGTTTACTTAATTTTCCCTATAAAAATTTAAATTTCAGTAGCCACATGTGGCTGGTGGATGATTCCTTGTGGGTCAGTGTGGGTGCAGACAAGGTCCCATAAGGTATGCATCAGTATTCTCAGAAAGGCTGACTAAGGCACAGAGGGTTGGGGTCCAGAGACCCCGCATTAGCAGGTCTGGGCAAGGTCTCGGAATCTGCATTTCTAGAAAGCTCCTTGGTGCGGTGGCAGGTCCAAGAACCATGCTTTGAATAAGGGGATAAGTGATGGTGAACTGCTGCCTCAGGACAGGGGAAGAGAGCCACGGTTTCCAGGAGGAAAACCAAGAGCCTCCAGGCCAGTGTCTACTAGAGCCCCAATAATGGCTCAGTGGGTCTTCATACATACCCCGTTTCTATCGATGCACGCCACAGTGGAGTTGTTGCTGGTGGCACTCTGGAAAAGAAACAGAGCCCATGAGGCATGCTTGCAGGAGTGGGATCAAGAAGCAGATGGTTTTAAACTTACTTGGTTTTGTGTTGGCTCATTAGCATTGGAAAAACTAGCTTTCGTTCTGATTTAATTTTGTTCTCTATTGGACCTAAAAATGATGACCGTCAAGTTGCGTAGGCAGTAAAATAACGACTACAATTACCTGATTCAATTTGATTTGGGTTTTACCTCATGGTGACAATCCACTTTGTCACATGTAACTCCCTAGGTGGGGATCACTTTCTCTACAACTCAGTTGGTTCAAACCAGTAGACCCAATTTGAAAACGAGTGGAAGTTTCCTACCAGAGAACTGAGGAGGGGCGTCCGAGATGTGGATGGGCTATGGAAGAAGCCCTGCTGAGGGATGAGGTACTCGTCAGCATCCACCACATCTTCCATGTCCTCCTCATCCATCAGAGCGCGGTAGAAGTTGGAGTCAGTGGGACTTGGCAAGTGCATTCTCTCATCCCCCTGGGGTGAGATTTGAGACTATTAGAAAGGTCGAGAGAGATACTATTCTATTTCTTGGCTACAGACACAGAGATCTGTTGTTAGCAGGTGCCTAAAGGTTTGTCAGTTAAATAAAAATCCCCCTGGTTCCAGAAATTACAGCTGTTCCTCACACTCACTCACCTCCTTGCCTGAAATGAAAACTTTGAAAATTCCTTGATATGGACCCTCCCTGGTGTCACAGTGGGTTAAAGCACAGCACTGTAAGCAAGCTGCAGCCGCTTCAGTGTGAGCTGGATCTCTGGCCGCAGAGGTGATCCACATGGCACAGCAGACCTCTCCTGACCTGCTTGCTGCTCCCCTCAGTAGTGTACTTCGTCAATCTGCCTGTTCTGCTCCCCACTCTGTCTCTGGTGAATCCTCTCACCCCCTGCACCTCTGGCCTGTAACCCAGTTCTGTATGCATAAGTAAATCTTAAAAATATATAAAGAAAATTCTTTGATATATAAAAGTTCCTAAAGTGAGACAAACTGCTTAGGAAGGAAAAGAAAGAGCAGCATCAGCCTTTATTGAGGGTGTACCTGCTGCTAGGTGCTGTAAATTTGTGACTTATCAGAAATGTGTATTTGGTCTTTGTCCCCGTTGCTGGCATGGAGTTCCTAAAACCCTTGGAAGATCCTAAGTTATGAAAGGTGACTTTTCGGAAGAACCTAAGGATGGGGGCTGGTTGCCAGTGGAAAGCCCTGTGTTTAGGGAGTTGGCAATTTTTGCCTCACTGTAGCCTCCAGGGAAGAGACTGGTCTGGGGGTTCGATCAGTCATCAAAGGTCAGTAATTTAATCAGCCCTGCCTATGTAATGAGACCTCCCTAAGCTCCTGAGGATGGGGTTTGGAGAACTTGTGGATTGGTACGTGACAGGAGAATCTGTGAGGTTGGTGCCCCCTGAGAGGGTGGAAGCTGTGTCCCTTCCCAGTATGTTGCCCTCCTGGCTGGTCTTGAGTTATATCTTTTTATTAAGAAAAACATTAGTCTAGTCAGGAACCAGGTTTCCTGAGTTCTGTGAGCCACACTAACAAATTAGTTAAATTCAAGCAGGGGTTCATGGAAACTTCTGATTTACAGTCAGTCGGAAGCAAAGCTCTAGTGATTGGTGACTGGACTAGTGGCCTTGTGATTGGGGTGGGTGAGGTGGCAATTGTAGGACTGAACCCTCACTCTGGGGATATAATAATATCCCTGAGTAGAAGTGTCAGAATTGTGTTGAATCCTAGGACACTGAGCTGGTACTGGAGAAAAGCCTATAGGCAGAGAACCACACACACACACACACACACACATAATACATACCCACACACATAAAGGAATTGCTGAGCAGAACTTTTAGGTGTTATGCAATATATTTTGCATATATTATTTCACTGAATCTTTAAACTGCCCGTGGCCTGGTTTTGCTAACTTAACATTAGAAGGGGAGAAGCACATATCTGAGGTCAGGTTTGCCTGAACATACAAGACTCCGCTTCTCCACTGGACTGAGCTGACGCTTTGGTTTGCCACAGTAGAAGCTAGCCCAGGGATGCTGTGCGAGGCCACATGATTCGGATGCTTGTTAGAAAGACTTTTCCAACAGAATGAGAGTGCAGGTTGTACCTGGATGACAAGGTAGCGCTGGGGGTCTCGGGCCATCTTGGTGAATTCAATGATCAGCTCACGAAATTTAGGGCGACTGTCTGCATCTATCATCCAACCTGGGAAGGAATGAAGAAATAGATGCAAACAGCACCATTAGCGCTCTTAAAGAAACAAGAAAGAGGCACTGCTTAAAACTAATTACAGTAAAATACTTTTAGACTAGAAAGGATGAAGACACTTATTCTTTGTGACAGAGTCCTGGCTGGATTACTGTTTAAAGATCATGAAAACACAATACAGCGAATCAGAATGACAATATTATCCTGTAACTTTCTATACCTAGTCTTCTAGGGTCAGTATTCAGGTGTGACTACCTTTGCGATACAGCAGCTCAATTAGGACTCTGATGATCCAGTCCTGTGACTAGGCTCACAGTTCTTACTTGACATCCACCCTCGGGATACTCACCAAGCAGAATTAAATGCTGGAAATTAGATGTCATTTAGATAAATCCAAAGACCCTGAGAACCTTGGTGTTTGGGAATTTTTCTCAATCATTCTGCTCATTTCATTGTATTTGTGCTCAATGATCATGCATTGTGTAAGAAGGGCTATTTCAGGCCCTCCCTGGTGGCACAGTAGGTTAAAGCACAGCACTAAGAAGCTAAAGCCACTTTCGCATGAGTGGGATTCCCGCCTGCCCTGGAGGAGATCCACATGGCGAGACAGACCTCTCCTGACCCACCTGCTGCTCCCCTCAGCAGTATACTTCGTCGATCTGCCTGTTCTGCTCCCTACTCTGTCTCTGGTGAATCCTCTCACCCTCCACATCTCTGACCTATACCCCAGTTCCACATGAATAAATAAATAAATCTTTAAAAAAAAAAAAGAAGGGCCGTTTCAGTGCCTTCCATTGGAGGACACTTCTGTTAACCATGCTAGTGCATTGGTTACAAAAGGACCTAAGCCTGGCTTAAACAGGAGAACAGTTATCAGCTGGAAATCCTCAGGCTTTTGAGGTTTCACATTTATTTTCAAGCAGCAGGATGTCAAGCTATTTTAAATCAGATTGCTATGTAACCTTAGACAAGTCATGTAACCTCTCTGGATTCCAGTTCCTCAGAGCAGAGCTAGGAAATCAAAATAGATGAACTTTGTGGTCAAAGGTCAGAAAGGCACTAACATTTACATTAATTTGGCTCTACCAGATTCCCTTGTGTAAACGCTCACCACACAAGTGACCTGGGGATTCTGTTGGAATAATGTGTTAATCAAGTTACACATTCTTATTTGGATTAAGATGTTTACTTGCTAACTGCAAAGGACTTCACATAAATCCACTATTTGAAAGGTTTAAATCTGAGCAGAAATGTTGATTCTATTTTCCTTTTTGTTTATTCATTGTTAGGCATTTAGAAACATTCAGTATCTGGTAACAGACTTCCCAGTGTGGGCAGCTTTTTCAGTGAGCAACTAGAGAACAGAATATTTTGGTGTGATGGCTTATGGAGGCTTTGATTTTATTTATTTGCTTGCAAACATGGGCAAATGTCAGTGAGTCAAGTGAATGCTTCCAGAAGAATGTGTGAGGGTTTTTTTTTTTTTAATGGATGTTTCTGGACTCAAGTGTCTGTCTTAAAGAATGTGACAGCAATTTTTCAGACAGCCCAAGGTCTGGACTATCTGGTGAGGGCAGTTCATGGCTCTCCAGGAGCCAGGAATTCCTATGCTGAGGTCAGCCACGGGCTAGACTGCCCTAGGACCACTCACATTTGACCATGATCATGTAGACATCAATGGTGCAGATGGGCGGCTGTGGGAGGCGCTCCCCCTTCTCCAGGATGGTGGAGATCTCACTCGCCGGAATTCCGTCATAAGGTTTAGACCCAAAGGTCATTAGCTCCCAAACAGTGACTCCTAGAAGATGAAGCAGTCAGTCATTAGTCATCAGTGACCAGGTGCCTTGTCTTTAGTCATCAACATTCCTACTGTTTCTGCTATAGAGAAGCCCATGTTTCTGTGGCCTTGGGAAATTCGCTTCCACTGTTTACCTCTCTGCAGTGAGACAATGACAGTATCTGCCTCTTGTGATGGTCTTCAGGGTCAAATAAGGTTACACAACTGAAATGTTAGTTTACTGCCTGACAAACACTAAGTAGCTAAGACATGGTAATACTTAGTAATGACAGCAGACAATGCAACCACCTTAATAACTTCTTATGCTACGGCGAAGAGCGACACACTCAAACTTCTGCTCTAAGTGACTTCTATATAAGTGGAAAGACAAGGATTCCAAACAAAGCTATAAATGTGAGTCTTCAAATAACTAAAAACAAACAAACAAACAAACAAACAAAAATAAACCAAGAAACAAAAAAATCTTTTCCTTTGGATAGATATCAAAATCCAATAATTTTAATTTCACAATCAATTACCATGTTTTTTTAAAAAATAAAACTCTATGTATGGGTTCTCCCTGATGGTGTAGTGGATTAAGGCGCAGCACTATGAACCTCTCCAAAGTCAATGCAGCACGAGTTCAATCCCCGGCACCTTTCCTGGCCTACCCACTGTTCCCCTCAGCAGGGTGTTTCGGTCGATCTGCCTGTTGTGCTCTTCACTCTGCCTCTGCTGAATCCTCTTACCTCCCCACTTACAGTACCTCAGTTCTGTAAGCATAAATAAATAAATTATTAAAAAAAAACTGTAGTCATTTTAGAATTGGTGTTCTTTCAGATAATCTCTAATTCTGATGGCCCTTGTCTCTTCATGTCTCTCTTGGTGGAATTCTCTCTCTAGAAACACACACTGCTGTATAGAGCTTGTTCCCACTGGGAAAAGGAAGGTACTTTGGTCCCACTAGAGGTGACTAGGTGGGGCTGACTGTGGCCCCAGGGGTCTGACACTGGCAGTAGACTTCCAGATGTCTATTACCACAGACCTGCTAGAGTTCTGCAGATGCTATTCCAGAACACAATGACCTGAATTAACATATAGGCTGGAAGGAGAAGGAGAACAATAGCACTGGGGCAAGAAAATAGACTCTTCTATCCTGCCCACCACGAAGTCAACATGAGCTTAAAAGAAAATCTCATTTCAAGATCCACAAAGTCAGGTAATTAGGTTTGATATTGTGTTTCAACATGCCAGTGACTTCCCATGGGAAAGCAAGCTTTTCAGGGTTTGGGACAAATAGTGAAAGAGTGTGTGTGCCTGGTGTGGGTTATGGATGACACTGGAAGGTGAGGTGAATCCTCTCTCTTCACTCCAATATGGACCACACAGTTGTCTAACTTATTAAAATATTTTCCCTTGACTGGAATAGAGAATGGGATAAAGGATATGTTTATTAAACTAAAATTCCAGGTTCATGATCCAACAAGTCCAGATCATAATCACTGACAATAGTTTGCACTGAAATGGAAACGTGAAAGGCACCACCACTGTGATGCTGCTTTCTATTAACAGTTATAATCAGTCAGAGCAGTTAAGTCATTGACCTGAAGGGAATTTTCATTTAGTCAACAAACGTGGACCAGGTGTGGGCTTCTACTTGTCAACCACGATTGGAATTTGGGGAGAGAAAGGGGCAGCTCCCACCCACCAGCTCATCAGTCATGGTCAGACGATCTGAAATATACTTGGGAAACCAGAGATGTTAAGCAGAGAAGTGAAAGTCAGATACAATTTAAAGATGTATTTTGACTGTTGTCTGGAGAATAGATGAGAGTGTGCCAAACAGGTGGAGGAGAAGACCTGGTGGGTCACTGAGAGAGGGGCTGGCCAGAGTGGTGACAGGGAGAAGACTCTGGGAAGAACCCAGGAGTGAGTAGAGAAGACACATCTTAAAATAACAAGGCCTGGGAACAGTTTTATTTCATTATCTAGTTCATTGGTTGCATGCAGGTTAGCTCACAGGTCTATAGAAAATAGACCGTTTTATCCACAAGTATGTCTGTCTTTGTTAAGTCAACTTTTTAACAGAGGAGACAAAGATCCAGGAAATAAAAAATATATTTGGAATATTGGGGGGGGTTATAATTGTAAGGGGGAAATACTAAATGGGTAATTGGAATGAATATTTCTATACTAATGACTAAATTTTTTTCAATATTGCTTGTCTCAAATATACATTTCTAGGAAGGTGAGTGACTGCTCCTCTTCACAGTTCTTCCTTGCTTTAAGGAGCTGAGGAGAGGGAGAGGCTTATGACTCACATATTAACACAGAGGGCAAAGTGTCTACAGTCTCTCAGAAGACTGCTAGGTGACATGTGCACTGAGTGTGAAGGCAGCTGAAGTTAACAGTGGCCATTGAAAATCAATCAGTAACTCTTAAAAGGCAAGAATATTTTCTTTAAAGACAAGACTCTTGTACAATAGCAGTGAGGTGGGAGCACAGGCAGCACCTCTGGAGAGATCCCACCTGTGCAGTGGACAGCTGGACCTGGGAACAGAGATACAGACCTGAGAGTGAGAGGCTCTTAGAGTCAGAAGCAAACCCCACCTCACTTTTCTTGCTTTTCCCAGACACATCCTCATTGCCTTTTTGACAAGCATTCCCTCTGACACACAAAAAATCCAGCTCATTACAGGAAACAATAGTCTGGGTGAATCACCACAAGACTTCCTTTCTCTACCAGGAACTTTTTCCTTGAACCCTATGGTCTTTTCTCTTCTGTTCACTATGGATTCATGACAAGAAGTCAGGTTTAGCCTGACATTGCAGATGAGGACATTTCCTGAGTTAAGTCTCACTTCCCCCATGCCCCTCTCTTTGGACAAGTTCACTGAGACCCCAGTGACACTTAGTGTGGAATTTAGACTCAACTTCCTTGGCCATGTTTCCTTAGTGTAACAGACACACAACAACTATTACACTGTTATTAGTCACTGTCTTGGGAGAAAACTCTTGAATGACAGAGCATATAATGTAAATCAGTGAGCAAGCCAAACCAGCTGAGCCTCAGTACACATTCATTAGCATCAAATTTCCACTCACCATAGCTCCACACATCACTTTGGTGGGTATAAATTCGGTGTAAAATTGATTCCAAAGCCATCCACTTGATAGGCACCTTGGAATGATGAGAGATAAAACAATATGACAATTACTAGCTTTCCTCTGTTGAAAAGAATTAAATCACTCTGGACAAATTACAAGTGATCAATAAGGAAAAGCCAGGTCTCCTACTGACCACACAGTTTAGCACTCCATCTCAGCTGCACGGTACGCTTTAAGTCTGGCAGACAACGGGGTTGTTTTATCTGGCCCTTGAGTTGGTCAGGTGGACACCACAGCTAAGGCCCTTTGGCCCCTGGGCAAACTGTTGAGCTGGTCTTGGTCAAACCCTGTGTGTATTTGCCCTGTATCTTGCAGGCCAACATGAGGCCGAAGGGTAGAACTAATCTGGACCATTCTGGAGGCCCTGGCACGAGAGAAATCCTGCAGGACTCCCAAACCCAGCTGAGGAGGAAGTTGGCTCCACCTCAACCTGGCTGAATCTCAGGAGGGCATGAGTCACTGGGATCCTGGAAACCTGCAGAACAACATAGGGAGCTCCCTGTATTTGGGGGCCTTCTTCAGGGTGTGTGCCACCAAATTAGCAGTGGTGTTACCTAGCTGTTTCTCTAAATGTGATAATATAGTGAGGGGAAGTAGCTGAACTTCAGGTAAAATTCCTGGGCCTGGAGCTGAATGCCTGTTCTCTGTGGCCTCTGGGAGGATCAGTACTCACTGCCAACAACTCCCACCCTATAGCACCTCTGCTCCCAATGCTAGCAGAAGATTCTCTAGGCAAGGGATGAGCGAGCTGCTGGACTTCATCCGGACATCCAAAAATGTCTCCATACCACGTAGTTCCCGACCAAAGAAACGTTCACTGGTCTACAAGTGGGCTCCTTACTTTGCCTCCTTCTGCATGGTACTCCTTCTCATCAGCACCCAGCAGTTTGGCCAGCCCGAAGTCTGTGATCTTGACATGCTGCGGGGTCTTCACCAGGACGTTTCTGGCTGCCAGGTCACGGTGCACCAAGCGCCGGTCTTCCAGGTAGTTCATGCCCTGAAAACAGGGACAAGCAGTGAGGGCATGGGGCTAAGCATGGAGCTGAGCAGTGAGGGCATGGAGCCCCCTGAGTGCCCCGCATTGCTTTTCGATGGAAACCACATGGTTACTGAGCAGCTTTCCTAAGAAGCCACTCCCAAACCCCTGCCTGACTGCTTCTACATCCGGTTGTGTCAGAATCACTGCTGAGAGATAAAACTCCCTCCCCCCTTGTATTATCTGGGAGGCTCCTGCATGAATAAGATGCCATTTTATTTAAACAGCCTAAGATTCCTCTTGTGCCAGGAAATATGGCTAATAGGACTCATGTCTCCTCAAGGGTGAACCAACAGGTTCTAGGTAGCACTTAAAAATTGAAAATTATTATTTAGGGATGGTGTGTGGAGACGGGGAGAGAGTAACAGCAGAAGCTGAGCCAATGCTGCCCAGCGGAGACCTCTTGGTCCTCCTGCACACAGCTGAAGGCACTCTGTGGAAGCTGGAGCCTAGCTCAGGGTGGACGACTATGGGTGCCTTGATGGTGGCTGAAGACGTGTAATCCTCTACCTCTGACTCATACATGGTGTTATAACCCAATGTTACCGCAATAAAATCCTAATAAAGTCATATACGCTCAACTCCTAGCGTTTCCATGTCAGGAGAAGCCTATCTATATAACTAACTCCCTCGAGGACACACCAACTTGTACCTTCTAAGTGCTAGAAACTATCAAATAGATGAAAGGCAAGAAATTATAACTAGCTACTGAGTTAGCTGACTTTTTCTTTTTCACTCAGCTACTCAGTTTCGGGCCCAGATGGTCCAAGTGGCAGAGGGCAGTGACAAAACCCTGGGTAGAGCCTGGCTGGAAATGGCTCAGGTACTGCCCTCCTGCCCACCATGCCACCAGGCTCCTTCCCTGTCTGGCCCCACCTGCCCTGGCTGACACCATGCGAGGGCGGGAAGGCAGGCTGCCCTCGCCAGGTGTGGGGACGATGCTTCTCTGTGCTGTGCAGCCAACTCCCATGTTTTCCTGTTTTATGGGATTTGCTACAGTAGAGAAGACTTTTATCCACTGTATCTTCTCTTGTTGTTTTTCAATGGAAATCACATGGTTACTGAGCAGCTTTCCTAAGAAGCCACTCCCAAACCCTGCCTGACTGCTTCTACATCCGGTTGTGTCAGAATCACTGCTGAGAGATAAAACTCCCTCCCCCCTTGTATTATCTGGGAGGCTCCTGCATGAATAAGATGCCATTTTATTTAAACAGCCTAAGATTCCTCTTGTGCCAGGAAATATGGCTAATAGGACTCATGTCTCCTCAAGAGTGAACCAACAGGTTCTAGAATAGCACTTAAAAATAGAGAATTATTATTTAGGGATGGTGTGTGGAGAGGGGGAGAGAGTAACAGCAGAAGCTGAGCCAATGCTGCCCAGCTGAGCCAATGCTGCCCTCTTGGTCCTCCGTGGCCTCTCTCCCCTCTCAAAGCTGGCTCCTTTCAGCAGTTTCACTCTCCCCTTTGACTCCCCTTTGAGACCCTGACTGTTTCTGTGCTCAGTCCCCTTGATCTTATAAAAGAGTAAGTTCTCTATTAAATAAATAAATGACCCTTTCAAATGGGTTAGTTATGCTGGGCCTCCCGCTGGGTGAGACCCAACAGCTGCACTGGAGGCTCCACGCGCTCCCTTGTGCTCTGTCTCTCTGTCTCACTCTGTGTTCCTCTCTCCTAGTTTCCATTCTTATTTCCTCTCTTCCCTTCCAACTATCTTTCTTTTGTTCGTTGCTATAGCACTCTGCTCTTGAAGACTTCCTCTGTGGACAGTATCATGTGGGAATTGTGTGGACCAGGTAATGCTGCACTCAGTGGAACATGTGTGATCCACACACAAGTATGTGTTGCACATGTATGCACTGTGCAGGGCTGCACACACGTGGAGTAATAAAGTCCTTACATGAGGACCAATCAACTTCTCCCATCCCTCTCCCTTTATTTAAAATCTGTAGGTCTTGTGGGTAGATGAAACCCATAAGGAGAACTTCAGAGGGTTATTTCCAGCTTCATTAAACTACTGTAACTTTCATTCTGCTTCTTCAAATTCCTAAGAGAATCTTGTATACTGGGCACATTTTATTGATGTTTTTTGAGGAGTAAATTGATGAATGATAATATTTTGCTAAGGTTTACTGAGCAATAACTGATGAGTGACAATAGCTGACTGCCATAGGCACCAATGAGGTGCCACACAGTCCAGAAATCATCTATGTGGAAGCCTCTTGGGGCTTGTCGTCCTCGTACCCATATGCCCAAAGGGTCCACAGGGTGGGGACAGTGATCCATAGAACAAATCTTCCGAGTCCCCAAGGTTATGCCCTTAATTCCCTGCTGGGGCCTCCAACTAAAATTTGCTTGCAGCTCCTAAAATTTGTTGTTATGCCAACCCTTCCCAATTTGTCTCCCCAAATAACACCCACCCCTTGGCCCGAAGCCACTGAATATGCCAATGTTGCTGGGCAAATCTAATAAATTGACTTAGTTCCACCCCATCCCTCACCCCTCAGGGCTTTAAAGAGAGAGAAACTTTAATAAATTGTGATCTTTTCTCAGAACATCAGTCATCAGAGGAGACTTGGGAAAGAGTGACTTACATATCCCGGAGAGCACAGCAATCAGTCGGTGAGGTTTAAATCAGAGATAATTTTGGAACAGTGAGATTAGATGCATTTGAACTTGGATGAAACCCTATTCATTGTCTCTATCTCACACTATGGAAATCCTTTGAAAGGCCACCTCAGTGCCCCATGGAGTTATATTTTAACCAGTGACCAAAGATAAAGTTGTGATAGCGCCTCTGAACTCCATCTAAACAGACACACAGGAAGCTATGTCAGCATATCCCGTACAGCTGCCCGGGGAAACACATTTCCTGATCCTTCTGAGAGCCTCGCTCTAACTTAATTCAATATGTTTGTTTTTGTTAATTACTACAGGACAGTTAGGATGAATTTTGAAATGCCAATGTTAAAATGGAATTTAAAGAGCCAAATTCAATGTGCAAAAGCTGAGCATGGGTGTGTGCTTCACGAATGTTAAAGATGTTTCTGGCACCAGTTTGGAAGAAGGAAGGGCTGGGTGACTGGGTTTCATCTAAAGACCATTTTCCCAGGGCCGTGGTATCCTACAAATCTTGGAAGGAGAGCAGAGCGAGAGGCTGGAAAAGGATCCGCTTTATTCTGTTACATGAGCCACCACATGGAGAAGTCAGGAGAGCACTGCCGCAGTGGCATGAAATGCAGAGAGTAGGAGTGGAAAGGCTTCAGGAAGTTCTGGATATAAAATCAATAGCACCCACCCCTGAGCCCTGCCCTCAACTCAGGCAGAGCTTCCCATTCCCATTGAGACCAGTGCCAGAAGGGAGGAAAGCGAGCCCATGGCCTTTTGTTCCAGCTGAGCTGTGCCATCACATTCTGCAGAACGGCATGAACGTGGGAGCAAAGTTGTCTGGGATCCAATCCTGAAGATCTTGCTTACTGACTTGACACCTTGGCACTGAGACACACCATACCTCAGTTTCCCCACATACCAAGTGGGTTACAGAGGATGAAATGAGTTTACCCACAGAGTACTGAGGTTGGAGCTCAGTAAGAGTCCTCCAGGCACTAGTGCTAAGAACTAAATGCCTAGCTGTCCGGGTGCCCGGGACCCCAGCCCCATGATTCAGCAGCCAAAATGGCGCCTGGTCTTTAGCCAGTGAAAAACAAAATACGCCAACACCTGCCTGTATAAGGAAGTTAAATCTTATTGGATATGCTTCCGCGTGATCAATGTATGCTGGTTGTGTGTCCTGCCCACATATGGTTGTTGTACACGTGAGCAGTGCTCTGATTGGCCAATGTACACGTGAGCAGTGCTCTGATTGGCCAATGTACACGTGAGCAGTGCTCTGATTGGCCAATATACACATGAGCAGTGTTCTGATTGGTCAATGAATGCTATTTAAGCAACTGCCATAACAGACTTGGGGGGGGGGAAGGCAGCAGGGAGGAGGAAAGCTAAAGAGAGAGAGGCAGGCGCGCGCGCGAGGAAGAGAGAAGAATAAAGGGCCCAGAAGAAGATATATCGTGGCGTCTTTCTGTTGGCAGAGAGTGCGTCACACCTAGCCAGTGAGCTTCCTAAATGCCAAATCCAACCTCTCTGTTCAATCCCCTTTGCCATGACCTTGAATTAGCTGCCATCATGTCTAGCCTCGACTCTGTTATGTTTTCCTTCAAAGCTCTTGTCATAAATAAATTCCTCAGCAGTATCTTTACTTTCCCGATGCAGGTCTGTCTTGGCTGCGCTCAGACCCTGCAGGTCTCCTCATCCCTGCCTTCCCCTGGCACTACTACTCATCATTACCCTCCTCGCTTATCTCCATGTCACCTTCTCAGTGGTCACTGGGGTCCAGTCCTCTGCACTCAGCTCTGCCCAGGGCATTTCCTACCTTGTTAACTCTTTATTGATTCATTTTCTTTACTCAAGTTTGTCTCACACACCCACATACACATACACTTCACATGCGACCTAACACTAACAGATTAATGCTGAAGAAATAACTAAGTGAAATGTCTAAAGGTTGATGAATATGCTCGACAGGCACAGTAACCAGCAACTCTGGCTTTTAAATGGCATACTGTAAAGTGATCATTTAGCTAATTGACTCACTATAATAGTTCCAGAGTAAATGAAATAAATAGTCCAAATAACAGAAATAAGTGGTCACTACTAGAGTCTGTGTTTTGGCCTGTTGCTACCAGGTAGTCACAGAGTGTGCTTGAAGGGTGTTCTCTGGCCCTCTGTTGTGGAGTGGAAGGTTTCCACACTGGGGTGCACACTAGTCAGTGAGGTCAGGCAGCACTGGACCTTACCTTTATGACATCCTAATCTAGAGTATGGAAAAGCCTTGGGGATTTGAGATAGACCTGGGTGGCGAAAGCCAGAGCCTACCACCCAGGAAGCTGGCATGTGGAACCCATAGAACTAGGTCTCTTGTTTAACATGGCGTCTGTCTCAAGGGGCACAGTCCTCCTTCTAGCACAGTCTCTACACCTCCGCTTATCTCCCACCATGTGAGAATTTGTCAACGTGGGTTTCTTGGTGGCACCAGAACTAATCACAGTGGCTGGAATGTTCTGGCTACATAAGAATTGGAGGATCACCTTCCCTCCCTTCCCTGGGCTCACCATCCCCTCCACCTCCTCCCTTTTCCTTTTAGCAACTCATGAGCTCAGACGGCTCCAAAGACAGACTGTGTGTCCAGTGAAAACCCTCAGAACTTTCCAGAAGAGCTTGCACCAAGCTAATCATTGCATGCATCAGGAAAATGGAGCCTTTGGACTGAAATATTTTTGAGGTTTATCCTTATAAGTTTTATCTCATAAAATGAATTAAGCATAGTTCTTTGCTTACAAAGTTGAGGTTTAGGAATGACACCCATAAACCAGTTTTTTTTCTGAGAGCCTCTCCCTCCCATACTTGTTAATTCTCACCAAGACCGGGGCTCAAGAATCTTAAACCTTATCATTTGTTTGAAAACCCAATTCAGTGAGATCTTATCTGGGTTAAGTCACAAGAAACCTCTTGTTCAAAAAGTCTGGGAAATGTTGGATTAGTCACAGTCTACACTGCTTCATTTACTGCAGGACTTTACTATAATGAGCACCGTGCAACCCCAAAGTATGAGTGCTGTTTGGTAGCAGCATTTTCCAAACTGAATTTATGATAAAATCTTTTGGATCAGAAAATTTTCTGACATTATCATACCATGGAATATAGTTTGGGATTTATCAACTTGTTTTTGTAGCCAGAAAGAGGGACTCTTTCTGAAGGCACTAAATTACTTTTGTTGAGTGAGGCTCTCAGGCCTCAGGAGCCAGGAATTTAGGGAAGGATGATATCTCCAGCTGATAGCAGATCTATCTCTGGAAGTTCATGGTTTATATTTGGAGAACAGAATCTACTTCATTTTATGTTTCAAGAGGGTGTGGCTTCCTCTGCTCTCCCAAGTCCATCCTAATTTTCTTTCTAAGTTACCTCTTTTCTTTTTTGACTAGGTGGTGAAATTTTATTTAAATTTTGTGTGCTTGTGTGTGTGAGTGTAGAGAAACACTTGGGTGTAGACCATAGATTCAGGGGTGAAAAGATTCACCAGAGACAGAGTGGGGAGAAGAACAGGTGGATCGACTGAAATACTGCTGAGGGGAGCTGCGGGTGAGACAGGAGAGGTCTGCTGCACCATGTGGGTCACCTCCCTGCCCGGGGATCGAACACTGGCCAAAAGTGCTGGGATTTAACCCTAGGCTACCAGGAAGGCTCTTGGTGATGTAATTTTATTTGTCTTCTTTGCAGGATAGCTAGGACAAGAAACTTGTGTAACAGTTCTAACATTTAGAAAGCTTCCTAAGATAGTCCATGCTTTTATGAATGTACATAGAACATTTAGAAGTCAATAACTCCCAGAGTTTAGTTTCTAGTCAGCCACTAACTACCAGCTTCTGGTAGTTTCAATTTGAACTTTGAAATAGGAAATTGTTTAATATTGAGATAAACAGTCACTATCCCAAGAGCAAATTTCTTTTTTACAATTGAGGAAAACATTATCTCCTTTTTTCTCCTGGGACAGACACTTTATCAGTACAATTATTCAAATACAGTGGAATAAAGTTTCTCTTGTGAATGAAAAAGCACATCTGTCACATACAAAGCACAGGCTGACACAATATGGCAGACTTCATCAAAGGAGAGCGAAACAGTAAAACAGGCGGCACAGTGGGTTGAACTAACAATTGTCAATGATGTTTTATATATGTCTTGGAAATGCATATATGTCTTGGAAAACTTTCAGGCCTTGGAAACTCAATTCAGCTTGGAGTGGGCCCAGGTAAAGCTGAAATTTCCCCTGCAGTGGGGACCATCATATTACAGCATTTGCACTTTTTTTCTGGTGTGCTTTAGAAGCTAATTTTGGGGGTGGGGTCTAATAAACTTCCATTTATGCAGACCAACATTCAGGCAGACTTAAATGCCTGGTTGCAAAGGAGTGAGGGGAAAAGCTCATCAAAAAAAGAAGACAAAGGAATGGGAGATGTAGACCTGGATTAAGATAATGACCCTGGTAAGGCCATTTATCAGGGTAAATATTACTGATCACTGCGACCTAATTTAGCTAAGGTCTGAGGACAGAAATGGAATCCGAGAACAATAGTGTAGTATCAAATGTTCCTGTGGCTGAATAGGGCACCCTCATCACCCAGGAGGACAGATGCAGAACCCTTTACGAAAAGGGAGGGAAACAGAAAGACTAAGCTTCTGGCTGAGCTGAGGGCACAGGATTTTATAAGTGTCAGGATGAATCTAGAGTCTACCTGAATTGTGTTGGGCATAACTCCCAGAGGTTATGTGGGCCATCACAGGGAGCGTCACTTAGTGGGTCTGAGAAATGACATGAACTATTCAAGAAGGATTACAACTGTGTGGCAGCCCTAGTGAGCTGTGCCTTATGAGTCAGGTGGGAGCTACAACCACAGGAGTGTGGACCTGACAGTCCTGCGGGTGGGATGTAGCCAGTGACTCCCTGTTCTTACAGGGCCCAGCTGCAGGGTGGCTGGGTGGGCACAGACTCTGGTGATATGCAAACAAACCAGATTTCCCAGGGTGTGATAAATGCTAAAAGAGCTGCTTGGGGAGGAAGGGCAATACTTTCAATTTCCTGCCTCAGATAAACAGGGAAGAAAGCTGAGGAGCAACTTCTCAGTTTAGAAGTCAGAGTATGAGGAATAATTTTATATTCAGATACTCTGGGCCAACGAACTCTCCCAGCAACCTCTGCAGAGAGTCCTCCCACATTCCATCTCACCAAGCACCTTATAATGTGACCATATTTGAACATGGGGTTTTCAAATCTAGTTCAAGATTTTGAGATGAAGTCATCCCCTGATTTAGGCATCACTGGTGTCTTTTAAAAGAAAGGACTTTTCTTTAAGAGAAGAAAGTGTCTGAGGATGGAAGCAGAGATTAGTGATTAGCCACAGCCAAGGAACACCTGGAACCACTAGAACTGGGAAAGACAAGGCAGGATTTGCCCCTAGAGCCTTGGCAGGAAGCATGTCTTAACTCCTTGAATTCGGACTTCTGACCCCTGCAACTATGAGAACACACTTCTGTGGCGAGCTGCCAAGTTTTTATAATTTGTCATGGCAGTCATGGGAAACGAATAGTTACACACAGAAATCATAAGATTTTCACAAAACCTCAGCATCGGAGGCACCTGAGACCCCCTGGTCCGGGACCAGTATCTAGTGAGGATGGCATGACTTCACGGGAATGGCAGAAACACCACTAATCACAGTGGTGCAGGAGCAGGGTCCCTCCTTCCAGGAGCTTGGGGAAGTTCCAGTAGCTACCACTGAAAAATCCACACAAGATGGCTGGAGCATACATCCACATGCTGCTGTCTGGATGTCGCCGGAGCTGAGCTTCTGGCGCCAAACCTGTTTCAGATGACAGCCTGCTGCCGCTGGGGTCGCTGCTCTTGGTATGAGCTTGTCTTGTAGTCTCATGGGCAATGACCGGCTGAGCAGTGCCCTGAACATGTTTTTGTCTATCTTTAATCACTTTCTATGTTTGCTGGGAGTTGAGCAAGCACATCTAGAGGCCTCTCCTGAGTCACCCAGCAGGGCTGATGACCTATCGACCAGAAGTGATGCGAGCAGTGAGGTCCTGGACCAGTTCTGGTGAGTGGTCTCTCCCTACTTCCTCTATAGCCCCACGATGCCCCCAAACACAGCTCCACAGGAAGGGATCACAAAGGGTCACTATGCCAGCTTAGAGAGAGGGCCTGCCTACAAACCCTTTAAATGGAGTGAAAGTATATTTGCTCTCAGTAGAAGGTAACAAGTTGGGCTGCATGACTGACACAAGCTGGATCAAGAGGGGCAGTTTGAGATGAGTGTAAAGTACAGTTGATGCTGTCTGAGGAGCTGACCACCTGGATCATTGCTCTGTCCTCGTCCTCAACACACAGGGGGTCACTTGGCCCTGTCTGCACTCCCTGCCTGTGCCTTGTTCTGGACCCAGTGCTTTGACAGGGGCATGAGAGGAATCTGAGCCAAGCAGCAGAAGCCTGTTTACCTCAGTTCTCCAACCTGCAAGCACCTGCCCTTCTCCACAGCACTCACCACCAGCCTCCTGCTTCAGCCTCTGCCATTCTCATCAGGCCTTGACTGTGTGCAAGCCACCTCTCCTCTGCTACAAACAACCATGGTATTCAACAGAAAGAACAACCAAGAAATAAGAACAGTAGTAACTAGAAACCACACTGAAGCCTAATAAATAAAAAATTGCTCAAACCCAGCTGAACGAACAGATTGATAACATACAGGGGCACAAGCACAGATGAGAAAGCAAAGGAGAGCCAATTCAACTGTATGCAAAATAAAACGCAGGCTGTGTGCCTTGTAGAAACACCCTTTGGCAATGCTCAGTCATCCTGCGTGGAGACCTGTTGCTGGCTTCCCACTGGCCTTTCTTTCCTCCCCTGTGCTTTCTTAGAAGAGTTCATGTTATCAGTGTGGCTGCTCCAACCTGGAGCAGCTGCAGGCCCCATGAAGTATGCGCTGCTGGTCAGGCTCCCTCAAGACTTACCTTGGCGATCTGCACGCACCAGTTGAGCAGGTGTTGGGAGCCGATGTTGTCCTTGTGCTCACGGACATAGTCCAAGAGGCAGCCAAAGGGCATGAGCTGAGTGATGAGCTGGACAGTGGAAGTCAAGCAGATGCCCAGCAGGCGGCACACGTGGGGGTTGTCCACACTGGCCATCACATAGGCCTCCTGTTGGAGAAGGGAGCAGAAGTGTCAGAGGCTCCTGGTGGGCAGAGGCAGGCAGACCTGTGCCCAGGTGAGAAGGCAAGAATGGGTCTCAAAATGTGTTCTTGAGAAGAACTGTGTCCTTTGTGAAAGCTATTTATAAAACTTCAGGACTGGAAAGGGCCTTTAAAGCACTTTCTGCTGAGGTCATTGTTAGAAGAGGAAATCATGGTCTGGTGAACAAGTGTGTTCACAAGGCATCTGGAGTGTGACATGCATGATGGACTACTGCATATTAGCTGGAAAGGTGCTTTTTAGAGGGTGGGGTCGACTGGGTAGATGCAGGGACCCAGGCGGCACCTGCCTCTGGGAAATGCTGCATGAAAACGAGGCCAGAAGGCTCTAAGTTTGAACATTTGATGTCTTCAATATGAAGAAGTCCACATGAAATCTAAGATTCTGCTGCTTAAAAATGTCAAACTCCACAATGGAATATTACTCAGTAGTCAAAAAGATAAACACATGTTATTTGCAACAACATGGATGGAGCTGGAAAGTTTATACATAGTGAAATAAACCAGAAAGAAAAAGAAAAATACTGGATGATCTCACTCATAGCAGGAATATAAGGGATCAGGAAAAATAATACATACATATATATGTATATAGTAATTGTAATAAAGTAAAAAAAAACATAAACTAACAGCTTTAAACCAGAGACATTCTATGAGGGAGGAAAGGGAAACAGGACCATAACTAGGGCAGGAAGAGCGCATGGGACTATGGTGATGGCACATGGGTGAAGTGGTGGTGGGAAGTCCACAGAGATTACAACTGAGATGAAAAAATGTATACAAAATGAAAAAAAGATATAAAATGTATATATATAAAATAAAAAATACTAAAATAAATAAAAATTTAACTAAAAAAAATAGTCAGGGTTGGTGAACCAGAGCTCTAGCCTCAGAACTGTAGAGGTGAACAGGGAGGGCAAACTGATGACTACAAAGGGGACTCCCACCTCAGTAGGACATTATTTGTTTCTAAGTGAGCCACAGGGCCTACTGGGAATCAGTGGCCACCTCTGCAAGGCACAACTGGAAAAGCCCTGTCAGTGCTACTATTTCCAGCTTTGAAATGCCAGAGGCACTGAACCTACAGTGATTGGCCCTGAAGCCGCCCAGGGTCTGGTTCTGAAGAAAGGGTCTGTGTTGCTTCCACCTTAGTCTTCAAGCTAGAAAGTCAGGCTGCTCAATATGACCCAGGTTCTTGTCCCAACCCCACAGGTCCTGCCCTGGCCCATGAAGGACTTGGTCTGTGAAGCCCTTTCACCTCCTCTCTCCTCAGAGGGGCTTCTCTGACCTTGAATTTAAGGTAAGCGTTCTTGGCATCTTGCAACTTTTTTTTTTTTTTTTCTGGGACACCGTTTCAGCACAGTCTGGGAACTTGCTGGAGAGGCAAAGTCCTGGGTCCCACCCTGGCTACCGCTTGAGATACAGGAAGGCAGGCCTGGATTCTTCCTCTGGGGGTTTCTGATACTCAGTGAAGCTCAGAGCTGCTGCTCTGGAGTCTAAATGGAACCTGCACTTAAGTATTCTTATGACTTAGAATCATAAGAGCTCCTCACTGAGTCCGAGGAGGGGACTGCATTCCCAGCTGTTGGTGCTCCCAAGGTTCTTTGACATTTATCTTACTGACACATGCTGCTTCTAATCTTGCCTCAGTTTCCTACCTATGTCAGTGTTGCCTCTGCAAGTGTGATCAGTACTTTGGAAGGGGCCTGGATATACCCTTCTTTGGTGATCCCATGGTATCTAACACAGACCTAGGTATATCACTGCCTCACAAATGTCAGGGTTCAGTATATTAAAAGTCAGACATTGAAGGCAAACCAGAGGCCATGCCTCTTCCAGTTGTAAAACAAATCCCACAGCCCTTAATATTTATTTCAGAACCTTTGTTTGGATGCTTTCTTGAGAGGTGAGGCTATCTACTTTAAGTAGAGTCTGTATTTCTTCTATTTTATATTGTGATCATAACACCAAGACATTAAAGAGCAGAGTGGATACTTAATACTTATGGACGTTCAAACAGCCCTTCACCTTTGTGAAGGGCTGTTTATAAAAATGTTAGGGCTGGAAGAGGCTTCAGAGAGCTTTCTTCTGAGGTCATTGTAAGAAGAGGAAATCAAGGCCCAGTGAACATTGCTGATCGGAGGCCACATTTCTTAGGTTTCTAATTCATATCTGGGCTCCTATTCTGTTCTCATGCTCTGGTCTAGGAGCTCCTCCCCCCACCCACGACCCTCCCCCCCCCCAACACCAAACTGCCTTATTGATGCCATGATGCCATGTTGAGTGCTAAGGTTAACTCGCCACCAGATACACACAGCCCAAATAGAAATCTGTTTTTTCATTCTCTTTCCATTGCCTGCCCTAAATTTAAACTGGAAAAATTAATAGGCCATGTGATTGCCAGAAAAGCACAAATCATGCCTCTCCCTGAGTCTGGGAAACCGTACAACCATAACACCAAAAAAATTTCTTTGGCTGCTCATATTTTCACAAGATCTGGTTGAAATTTTGAAACATATTGTATTCATTTTAGAGGGGAGAAAAATCTGCAAACTGGAGCAGTTTGAGCAGCCCATCTGTTGTGGGGCCAGCTAGGAGCTGACCTGGAACCGGGAACTGGGGAGTAGAACACAGGAGTGGGTGTCAGCCACACAGAACCTGGAGCCCTGCCAGGTCCCCGATCTGTTAAAGTGTGATAGAGCGCAGAGGGAGGCCATCACTTCCGCCTTACCCAGGCACAATGGGGACGCTGTAGGTCACGTGGCCCCTCCATGTGTGCAGAAGTTAGTGAGCTTTGTTCTGGGTTGTTTATCTTGGAAAGGCAAAGGCGCACGGTGCCTGCAGCAAGCATGCTTGGCATTCCTCAGCAGTCTCTGGATCAGACATCAGACCCCGCACAGACCCTGCCTAAGACCCCGCGGCTGACGCTTGAGTCACGTGGCAGGAGTATCTCTAAGGCTCTGGCGAAAGTCTATTATTTTGTCCCAATTGCTGATATGATTCTGGCCCCCTTCCTTCATCCTTATCACTCTCATTGGTGAATATTTTGTGTAAAAAACTGGAGAAAAGGATTTTACTCAATTTCAAGCTCCTTCAGCAGAGGCACATGTCTAACCTTAGAGTGAAGACTAAGCACCCCTATATTTTTGAGCCTTTACAAGGTAACTAAGTCACTGACGGCAACTTGAATGGGGTCTCCCTGCGCAGACTCTCAGTGCCTGGTCTCAGCAGGCAACAGAATGTCTAGTTACTGGAATAATGGATGCGTGTGTGTGTGTGTGTGTGTGTGTGTGTGTGTGTGTGTGTGTGAGAGCACACGGTCAGCTCCATGGCTGTCCTACTGAACTCCCGGCTGACACTGGCCCCAGAGCCTCTGACTCCTGCTCTGTCAGGGAGTGGGCTTCTGTCACCTGGAGACCAGTTAGGGAGGACCCAGGGATCAGAACAGCTGCTATCAGGGGAGAAGGCAAAAGATGCTGACAAAGAAGAAAAAAGGAGTGGAGTAAGGAAAGAAAAGAATGACAAAAGGCAAAAAAAGGCAAAAGTAGGGATTTTGAAACTTCTTTACCTTTTCAGTCTTTACCTTCCACCCCTTTCCCACCCACAAGAGCATATTTCAGAAGTTACGGGGGGTCCTTTTTGGTGAAGATAGCTAGCTACTGCCTTCAGAGCAGCTCTTGCTCTGTATTGTAATACACACACAATGTTATTTTGTAAAAGTTATTAGAAAATCTTGAGTTAGTAAAAATGAATTAAAGAAGCAAATAATACAAATAACATTTTTTTTTTTTAAA